GCTGGGGCAGAGGGGACCTTGCTCCTGTCAGGCAGGGAGAGTTGGGGAGGGCCCTGGTGGAGGCTGGAAAGAGTCTGACTGGAGGATGGGGGCATCCACAGGGTCAGAAGAACTTCGAGGCCTTCAAGGCACCCCCACCCCTCTTCTCCCACACCCAGGTCTGTAATGCTGTCTTTCTCTTGTACAATGCCACATGCCCAGCACAGGGCTTGGCACAGCTGGTACTCAGTGAATGCTTGATGGATGAACTAATCACAGAACCAGGAGCCCACCCCCTACACCAGCACTAATTCTTAACTCAGGGAAGCCCCCTCCTGTCTATGCAGTGAATGAGCTCAGCTGGGACACTGAGGCCCAGGGTGCAGCTTTTCTTCAGGGATTTCCCTTTTGGAAGGTGGCTCTGGCAAAAGATGCACTGATCCTCGGAGCCTGGCGCCCCCTGGTGGCTGCAGCAGGCAGACTGTGTTCAACCGAGGCCAGTAACTTGGTAGCTAAAGCTATTGCATTCTCTGCCTGGCAGAGGGGAAAGGAGGAGGCCGCCTGTGGAGGGGTGGATAGAGGTGAGAACAGGCTTCACCCTCTAGAGAAGCTTGCCTTCCCTTTGTCTTTGACCCCAATGGGGAGAGGTTCCTATGGCTGGGTTTCTGCCCCTCCCTCATACTGGCTCTACTCTAAGTCCCTTCAGCTGCCACAAATTCTCTGCCCACTAGGGCAGCTCTTAAAAGGGAACCAGGTCTCCCCACTTAGGATAGAAGTAGAGCTCCTCTGTCTCTGCCACAGGGTCTCCTTCAAATAGACTGGGGAGGGGCTGGAGGTTTCTCACCTCACTGCCCTTGGCCAGGGCAAAGCCACCACCCAGTAAGATCACGACATTCCAGTGCATCTTCTCATTCACCGTCTTCCAGTTGAGGAGGGCAGGAGGGGCCTTCAGCTTCCCTGGATTTTCTGCTCCCCAAACAGAGGAGGAGGGGTCACCAAGAGAGAATTGGCCTTCCCTCCCCTCAACTCGGGATGTCCCCATGTGGGTCCCTATCAGAGCCTAACGCATTCAGGAGGAGATCCTCAGTTCTGCAATATTCTGACTTTGCCCCTGAGTCCCTGTGACCTCGGCAAGTCATCCCAATCTCTGGGCTCTGTCTACTCCTGCCAAGTGCAGTCAAAGGTACATGACATGCCTGAAGACAGGGGTTGCCCAGATGACCGGAAGCCTTTTCTTGCCCCAGACCAGATGCTTACCTGGGTCCTGCGTCAGCCCTGGGATCTTGGAGGGCACGATGAACATAATTACGCTGATGAAGATGGCCACTGTCCCATCAGACAACATGCTGTGGGTGGGGCAGGGAGAGCAGGCTTAGTGTCTCAGGGTAACTCAGGACCACAGGATGGAGGGGTGGCAGAGAGAAGCCCCTCCCACAGACATGCCAACCCCTCCTGGGAAGTTCCTACCTCCCCTGTGTTATGTTCCATTCTGCACTGGGGGCCCTGCCCCCCTCCGTCTTCCCACAAATGTATGAACTACAGGGGTGTCATCCCCACTCCTCTGCCTAACAACTCACCTTTCCCCCTCAGCGTTGGGAAAAGCCAGGTTGCCCCAGCCAAGGAAAAAGCCTGGCTCCCGGGTGAACCAGAGCAGCACCAGGGTGACAAAGAAGAAGGTGATGGCCTTTTCTGCAAAGGTCATGGGGCCCAGCAGCCTGTGCTCTGTCTGGATGACGCGGTAGGCTGCCTGCTCTTGCTCTTGTGCCTCTCCCCCAATGCCGAAGTTCTTCCGGAAGCTGCAGACAGAGGGGTAGGGACCGCTCATGAGGGCCTTGCACCAGGCAGGGGAGCAAAGGACTCCTAGTGCCTGTTATGTGAAGACTGAGGTTATGGAGGGCACCTCGGGTCACTACACTAAGGCCCTGGATCCACTCAAGGTTCTGGAAGAATAGAATGCTCTCAGAGTGCCATGGCTTTTGTTTAACAGGGGTAGGGCTAGGGCAGGGGAGGCTGGTTTCCCCCTGCTTGGCCGTGTTCCATCTGTCCCATGGACCCCCTTTCCCTCCAAGTGTTCTATTCTGCTGAGCCCTCTCTTGCCCAAAATGAGGAGGGCCTAGCAGCCCAGACCCTATGCCTCCCCTTGGCCCTGAGTCACACCTCTCCTCCCCCAACCACCTTTCAGGAAACCTTTCCCTCTTCTACCTGCTTCTGGGTATCCTCTGCCCAGCATGAGCCCCATCCACATTGTCCTCAGAGGCACAGGAGACTGTGGCCCACTTCCTTGTGCCTCTTACTTAACTTGCGTTGACATTTAACTTTTCACTTGGGTAAATCTCAACTCCCTTGCTGGACTGTGTGTTCCTCAAGGGCAAAGACCATGCTTCACAAATCTTCGAATCTCCCATGGTGCCTTGCATCATGCTGTTCTCTTTGACTACCTCCTTGCTTTGTAACAGCTTCCAATCTCAATTCAGTCTCCTTACACCTGCCCAAGTGATTTTTCTAAAGAACAGCCACTATGCTTAAAAACTTTCAATGGCTCCCCGTTCCCTGTGCAGGAAGGGCAAATAACATAGCACTCATACCACTGCTTCTCTACCCACTACTTATGGCTGACATCACTAATCAATCACAGCACGTGATCCAACTGAGGCCAGAAGGGCCTTGCAATGATTTTCAACTTAGAGCTCCAAATAGCTACTAGTTACCCAGGTTTTGAAGTAGGAATAAAACCTATTTGCTCCTGGTGGCCTCAAAGACAAGGTCCAAACTATGAAGCCCATAAGATCCTCCATAATCTGCCCCTGCCTATTTTTCCAGCTACATTTCCTGACATGCCATTTTGCACTTTATATTTCAGCTACACAGAACTAGAGTTCCCCCAAACACATTATGTTATTTCTTGTCTCTGTCCCTTTGTACTAGCTGTTCCTGCTGCCTGGAATGCCTGTACTCTGTTCTCCACATGGCTGACTTCTGGTCCTGCAAGATTCAACTCCAGCATCATCTCCTCCTACCCTGGGCTGAGTTAGGCCCTCCCTCCTTTGTGCTCTCACAGTACCTAGGCTTCCCTCTGCTGTGACCCTCAGCATATATCCTCACCCATCAGATGGTGACTTCCAAAGACAGGGACTGTGCCTCATGCCTCTTACCATCTCAGTGCTCAGGATAGGGCCAGGCATACAGTAGGTGCTCAATAAATGTGTTTGTAACTGAACACACTCAGTGTACACTCATTAAACATTATTAAAGGACTATGGAGCACTATGGGAAGGGGCACTTTGGGAAGGGTCTGGTCTGGGCATCAGGAGACATGGTTTTCAATCCCAGCACTGATAAATCTAGCTGTGCACCTCAGGGCAAATCTCTTTCTCACTCCTCAAGCCTCAGTTTGCTCATCTGCTTAATGGGATATTATTCTTTACCGGGTAATGCCTGGGGTTGCTGGCAACCAAAATGGGGATACAAGTGCACAGAGGGGCCATGGGAGGGAGAAGTCTTCCCACTGGGGTCATGATTATATAATTTCTCAAAATGGAGTAGCCTCTGGGCCCCGGAATCTCCCAGAGGTTAAGGGCAGGGACCAGGGCATCTCCCACCCATTCTACCACTTACTTGAACCCAAGGAAGGCGATCTGCAGCCACAGCCAGGCCAGCAGCAGCAGGATGACCATGGTGGGGAATGCAAAGCCAAACCAAGAGGCAAAGTTCACCACGTTGGCGTTTTGGGGGAAGAGCCTGAAGTGGGATACAGGCTGCTGTGTGGCATTGCCTGGGCTACCTCCCAGCCCCATCTACCTCCCAATGAGCTTGCAACCCCCCCACCCCCTGGTATCCCCCTTCCTCAACACTCACGAGTTGACTTGGCCTTGCAGCACCAGGTTGGGCGTGGTGCCAGTCAGCGTGGCTATGCCCCCGATGCTGGCCGAATAGCACACGCACAGGCTCATGCCCTGGGTGAAGCGAAGCTGCTCCTTGTTGTGATGTACCCGTGGCCCAGAAGGAGCAGGCAGGGTGGAGGGGAACTGCCCGTTATCTGGGAGCAAGGGAGAGCTCAGGCAGGGGGTGGGCACATAGCTTCCTGGGACATCTTGTTAGACAGTCACCTGAGGTCTGGGCTGGGAGGAGGACAGAGGCTGCCCCAAGGTCTCATGGGTCCAACACTGCCCAGAGTCTCAGGCTGAGAGGACCCTCAGGTTCTGTCTGGTCCAACCTCCCCCTTGAGAAGCTCAGAGAGAGGAAGAGGATGATTCATGCCACAGACAAAGAATGGAGACTAGAACCCTGGCTGCCCACCTAAACTCCAACTCTCTTCTTGCTAGGGAGACCAACCATCCTGGTTTGCCCTGGACCAAGGGGACTCCCAGGATGCAGGACTTTTAAAACCGAAAAAGTCGTGGGCAAACCAGAATAAATTGGTTACTGTACTTCTGGCATCCCTCTTCCTTTTCCCCTAAGCCTCCAAGCTGACCACCCCTGGGAATGGACATCCCCTCGGATCCTCCCCCAGAGCCAAGGGCTTGAGGGGACAGGGTTCAGCCCCATCTTTCTCACCAAGCTTGGTCACTTCCTTCTGGCCACTTGGTTCCTGGAGCTCGAAGGTGGGGTTGTTGCTGCCCTCCTCCACGTCCTTGCTGGTGGGATTGCTGTGCAGCTGCTCCAGGACAGCGTGTGCGATGGGCACCATCATGGCTGTGGTAGCTGTGTTGCTGATCCACATGGACAGGAAGGCTGTGACCACCATGAAGCCCAGGATCAACCTAGGGATGGGCAGACAGACACATTGGTGTTCCAGTGTCCCTTCCGGGACTGGATATGTAGGATGCTGCCCCGTCCCAGGCTCTCCTGCCCTGGAGTGTGGGGACTTACACGGCAGGCCGCACCCCGATGATGAGGAGCACGCGGAGGGCGATACGTTTATGCAGATTCCAGTGCTCCACAGCGATGGCCACCAGCAGCCCTCCGATGAACAGGATACTGGTGTCACTCAGGTACTCGATGCAGACCTGGTGGGACAAGGTCACAGCTGAGAGGCAGGAAGACCCTGAGGTCTCCTACAGTGCTCCTGGGCTCATGGGACGCAGCTATAGATGCACAAATAGATGCTGGTCCGCTAGTCTTTGGATTATCTGACGTTCAGTATTAGTTTCCTCTCCTCCTGCCAAACTCCCTCTTTCACCCCTCAGGAATGATTGGGAGAAAACGTAGACAGATTTCGCTTATGTTTCAAGTCATGGACTAGGAGATAGATAATTTTACTCTGTTTCTATGATCTAGGGTTGCAGTTCCCAAAGTGTGGTTCCCTGACCATGTCCCCAGCACCATGTGGAACTTGTTAAAAATGAACATACTCAGGCCCCACCCTAAGCCTACTAAATTGGAAACTCTGGGTGGGGCTCAGAAATCTTTGTTTTAACGAGCCCTCCAGGTGATTCTGATGTATGCTCAAATTTAGGAACCATTTAACTAGAGGAATACAAGCTCTTTAGCTGCCTTTCAAGGCCTTTTCCTGGGTCACCAGGCCCTTCCACTTCCCTGGCTTAAGCCTAATCACTCCCACCTTGAATTAAATCTTAACACGAGCCATACACTCAACGTTTCTAGAATGCCTTCCCCCTGTCTTCTAGCTGACTACTCCCTCAGTGCCCTCTCCTCTTCCAAGCACAAGCAGGGATCCCTCTTCCATGTGCCCACCTATGATAGGCTTCCCTGGTCACTGGAATCCTGGGGAAGACCTTCCCCTCTCCCTGCCCCATGAGCCCTTTCTCCTGAGGATGGGGGAGTCTCACCTCAGAGGCATCCATGATGCCCATCATGGGGAACAGGAATACAGGGAAGAGGGCAGTGACTGCCACGGGCAGAGCCTCGGTGCACCAGAGGAGGGCCATGAGGATGATGACATAGCCGCAGTAGGCTTCCTGTGGACGGGAAGGGAGCAGCAGAGCCGTTGGAGGAGACAGGCT